GTATTTAGCAGACACAGAACATTCTAGTTTTCATAGAAAAAAAGGATAAAGAAGTGAGTAAAAACAGATCGAACGTATATATTTTTAAAACTCCACAAAACTACAGGGTCACAAAATGACTCAAGAAGCAACATTAAATGGTAAAGCCAATCATTCACCATGAATGTTGATGACCATCTGAGATGAGCATTAGTGTCCTAACACGTAATGAACAGTCACTTGTCCCTGTTCCAGCCGGGGCCACGCCCTGCATGTCTTTCTGCTCCCACAGTGCTAGTGCAAAGTCCTGTACACAATCAAACGAATGAACGTCGTCATCACCCTTAAACACACGCAGACACAGGACAGGTCTTGCTACATTCAGGCAGAAGCTCTCACTGCTTGTCTGAAGTGTGTGTCACAGTATGGAAATTGATTTCTTGACTCCTACATCAAGTTACTACTTGATTAGTATCTTCTATAATGGTAACAGATGAAAACTCAAAATGTAAACAAAAGGGAGACACCACGGCACAGTGGTTAAGAGCACAGGCTCTGGAGTCAGATCTGATTTGGGGGTTACCAGCTATGTGACTTTGGGCAAGAGACTTGACTCCTCTGAGTCTGTCTCCTCATCTGTAAAATGGAATGCAATTGCACCTAACAATAGGGTTTTGTGAGAGTTAAGAGACATTTCCTGAGGGTTTACTATGTGTCCTCGAAAAATGGTTGGCTGGCATTATGAAGACTGGGAACTCTCACAAATCAGGAAGTTCTGAAAGAGGCCACTTTTCCCCATCCTCATTGTCTTGGTCTTCTTTGCAAAGGCCTCTGGGTCTAGCAGTGCCTGGAATAGACCAGGAGCTGACAGGCTGGCATTAGGATACAGGTGCACGGCAGACCTGGGAGACAGTGAAGAAAAACAACAACTGGGAAGGCTTTCCAGAGTTCATTTGGAGACTAGCTTCAGGAATGCTGGCTATACCTAGGGCCTAGTTATTTGGTTAGTCCAGAGATTGTTCGGAATGACATCTGAGGGTGCAATGACCTCATACCTTACTGTCTACATTGTCATATAAATTCACACTATGAGTCTAAACAGATTTTTGCTTACCATTTAGAGGGGTTAAACAGCATCAGAGGAGGTTCAAATATATAAACTGAAACTGGTCAAAAAAGAATAGCCACATTTCAGAAAATATACCATTGGTGAGCTTTTTTTCCGTGATAAGGCTAGGATTTTTCTAAAAGGAGGCACAGTGAATTTAAGACATTGACATTTATAGCCGTAGCTCGACGCTTACTCTTGGAGGCCCAATTATCATCCCTGTCCATCTTGTAAGTGTCATGTCTTCGTCATCTTCTAGACCCCAGCTAACTGTGCCATCTCCTACTCCTTTCTGGCCTTCTTCGAGTTCTTCCAACAGTCGGAAATTGCGAGGGACTTTTACTCCTAAAATAAATGGAAAGAAATTCAAGATACCAGCAACTCCAGGGGAACTTGTAAGCCTAGAGCTAGCTGCTCATTATCGCTCCCTGGGAATAAAGATGCTAACATGCAAAAAAATCATGGGAAGTTATCACACCTCAAACTTGCCACTTATAAAGCTATCAGTATCAACCAGCACAACCAGAGGGAAGGGGCACATGGTTCTCTGACAGGTGAAATGACTAGGGCTAGATAACCAAACTTAGATACCCCACCCCCACCCCTCGGACAAACCTTATAAGGGGCTTACATGTCTAAATGTCGATGAATTGGGGTTAACTAGTGTCAGATGAAAACCATCAATATCAAGTGCTAACAAAAGTACCTTGGAAGACAAGAGGCTGAGACTATGCTTATTTGTTGGCATGACTCTCAAACAACCTTTAGGAGGAATAGTCGCCATGGATATGGCAAATAAAAATGGTGTCCTCTTAGTCAACTAAGAGTCAATTGAAGGCACCAAGAATAAAATGTTCTATTGTTTTTCAATTATTTAAACGATAGTTTCTCTTTTAACTTACAAAAAAGGTAAAAGGGAATAGCTGGCTCTCTAATTTTTTCCCAAAAATCCCAAAGCCTGGCAAGTAGCTCTTGAAAGCAACACATGAAAACATCTCAGAGGTTCAAGACGCAGTACCGGGTTCAGGCTGAGATTTGAGCCATTTCTAGATGTCTTCCAGAACAGAATATTGGCCAGACTCTCAAGAGACAAATAGGACTAACCATGTGACTGTGAAGAGAGGCTCACTTGAGGGACCCCAAATTGTGGGAGGTGTTGCCAGTATATGCATCTCCCAAAGTGTAGGACACATGCCATTAATTTAATTGGAATAAATATTTGAGCACCTATTATACATCAGGCACTTTTCTAAGCACTGAAGAACAAGCAGTGAATAAAACAAAAATGCCTGCAGCTTACATTCTAGTAGGAGACATATAATGGACAAAAATCAATATGTAAATTATACAGTATGATAGATTCTGCTGTTCTGGAGCAGGGAGTAATAGGGGAGGGGCAATACTTTCAAATGGAGTGATCGAGGAAAAGTGTTATTGCAATCAGGTGTCATAACTAAAGACCTGAAGAAGGTGACAGGGCATGATTTATGGATAGCTGAGGGGAAAGTCTTTGAGATAGAGCAAACAAGTGCAAAGGCCCTAAAACAGAGGCTTGCTTAAGGTGTCAAAGGACAGCAAGGAGGCCAATTTAGCTTAAACCAAGTGAGGGATGAGACAGCAAGAGGAGATTAAGGATGCCAACTGTTACTGCGTGACATGATCTGTCCCTCAGACTGCTGTGTGAGGACAAGAGTGAAGGGAGCAAGAGCAGAAACAGCTAGGGGGATACTGCAATAGTCCTAGCAAAAGTTAATACCGGCTTGGACCAGAGTGATAGCAGGAAAGTAGTGAGGAGCGGCGTAATTCTAGGCATTTGAGAGGTCTGAGCTGTGGAGATTTGCTATCAGGTTGCCTGTGAGGTGTGAGAAACAAGAGTCAACTATAGCTCCTGGGTTTTTGGTCCAAGCAGCTGAAAGACGGAGTTGTAGTGGTACGTTAGAGGACTTTAGGTGGTATGTGATTGAACACTTCGTTTTACAGTCATGTATTTATGTTTAAGAATAATTTATTTAGGGTAAGTAATATACTAACTTCCCATCCATAACAATGGTAAAAGTTTCCTTTAAAATAAATGTAAGCAAAAGAGTCAGTTGATTACAAAAAAATGTTAAATACTACTACATATGGTATTTGAAAGGAAACAGCAAAACCTACAAGCATACTTGAACTGTTTGTTTGGAAAACACTGGCATTTTCATCTGCACAGCAGCCAACTGGATTATTCAGCTACCCGGGACTGAGTCTTCTCTAGCAAACATAAAACTGAAAGACAGTGGTGACATTACAGGCAAAAAGTCAGACAACACAACCGTTGTTCAGAAAGGGTTCAATCTAAATCTTTAATGATCCTAATTAGGCTAGGGGGGAGAAGTCACTGCCTTACTACTGGTTAATTTATAAGTGTACACTAATAAAAATGAAGATCAAAAGAACATAAAATCATATTGATAGGAAGGCTAATGACTGAGGTACTTGTTCACAGATGGTGTTACGGCTGAACTGTGTTTCCCTCAAATTTATGTACTGAAGTCCTAACTCCCAGTACCTCAGAATGTGACAAAACCTGCTGACACCTTGATCCTGAGCTTCTGGTCTCCAGAGCTGTGAGAAATTTGTTAAGCCCCCACCCAGTCTATGGGATTTTGTTATGACAGCACTAGCAAACCCATACAGATGAGAAGTGACATCTTGTTTTTTCTTTTTTTTTTGAGATGGAGTCTCGCTCTGTCGCCCAGGCTGGAGTGCAGTGGCGTGATCTCGGCTCACTGCAAGCTCGAGGAATAGTCGCCATGGATATGGCAAATAAAAATGGTGTCCTCTTAGTCAACTAAGAGTCAATTGAAGGCACCAAGAATAAAATGTTCTATTGTTTTTCAATTATTTAAACGATAGTTTCTCTTTTAACTTACAAAAAAGGTAAAAGGGAATAGCTGGCTCTCTAATTTTTTC